ATTTCAAATAAATGACAAGGACAGCAAGACCAAATGTAGACCAGTAATCAACTTGCTCTTCAAAATATCATCAATTAACTATTTTTTAATTACCCAAACAACCATGTAAGCTCATAACATTTAGCATCTATTAGATGGAAAATTGTTTCTCTTTTCCATTACCTGGCTAAGACTCTGATAAAAACCACGCTCAGGAACCTCATATTAATAAATTATCATTCCTAACAATCACTTCCTTACCCTCACCACAGCAATTCCAACATGAGCATGGATTGCTATAATGCTGTTACTAAAAGGCAATGGCCAGCAGAATCTAGACAGACAACTGTCTCATCAGTGGCCAAAAACACAAAACTTCTAAATGACAGGTGGGCGCACTCTACTCTGCTTCCTCCGTACTTTGTATAAGTCTATATTACAGCCCTTTTCATACTACATGGTAATTATCCATTTATATGCCTGGCTCTGATGTTCTTCTCTAAGCGCCTTGATTGGTCAAGGGTAGGATAATGTCTGGTTTAGCTTTGTTATCACCCATAAAGCACTTAGTAGAAACATATTGTTGTTGTTGTGTGCTGTCGAGTCAGTTCTGACCCAAAGCGACCTTATATAGGGTTTCTGAAGAGTGGCTGGTGAGTTTGAACTACCTATCTTGCAGTGCAAACCAACATTGCAGTCCAGCACATTAACTCACAGCACCACACCAGGACTCATATTAGATCATCAATAAATATTTACTGTTTAAGAAATCCTGTCTTATAAGTAGCTTTGGAACAGACCACAAGGTTGTATTTGAACCTAGATGTGTGTTCAAAGCTTAGTAATAGTTCTGTTATTACATCACATGGGGTCCACTAAATTGAGGAAATTTCAGCCAAACTAACAATGAATGACACATATGGTTAACGCCAGGAAATATGTCTAAGCGGGAGGCTCTTACATCTAAAACTATTCTCTTCTTTGCAATTAATATATTTACTCTGCACTACTGACAATCTGTGACAAAACACTTGACATTTTACAAGGAAGCTAACTGAGCAATTTGGTTTGAACTTCAAGCTCACCAACAGCTCCTTGGAAACCCTATATAGGGTCAGAACCAACTCGAAGGCACTCAACAACAACCATCAGTGAGCTAGTGCAGAAAGTCTGACTTCCGAAACATAACAGCTAGTTGAAAGTGGAATCTCATTGACCATCTTAAATTCTAGAAGCCAAGAAATGTTAAATCTATATTACATACTTACAAGATATTTTTTCTACAGTTGGAGACTACTCTATCATCCCCAATAAACAAGTTATTGTACTTTTCAGTAGCTAAGACAAACTGAATTTAAGAGGTTTTCATATTATTGTATTTTTTCAGTTTGCCCATGTAAATAACACTTATGTATATAATACACATAGGAAACTTAATAACCAAAGGGATTGCATCGTTATAAAAAACTGTATGATGTACAAATTGTGCAAAATATGTTATACTTCATATTATATTATCTGCCTTTATGAAGATGCTTCATAAAGAAAAAATGTTTACCCACTAAACATTCTCTTTTATATCCCTGACAATTAGGCTTAAAGGTTATTTTTTCAGCTATTCACAAGCTTAATTCATGCTATAGCAGTTATTTTACAAAACAGTTAAGTGATCTGTCAAGGGATTAACTTTTGGAATAATAAAGCTCCTGATGTAATCATTAATAACATGTTGGTATTATGAACCACTTTCTTCACCACTGACAACTAAGAAAAGATAAACACATGTGGGGAAAGTTTCTGCATTACACAATAAAACATATTTCCAATTAGAAGTTGTCAATGCCTTTTTATTACTCTGTGATATGGTAAAGTAAACATACAGAACTCATAATTATGGAACTTCCCTCCACAAAGTCTATACACAATTTTCATCTGACAAATACTTCTTGCTGTTGCTAAGTGCCACTGGGAGTGTTCCAACTCACAGAGATCTTATATAGGGTTTCCAAGGAACCACTGGTAGGTTTGAACCGCCACCCTTGAAGTTAGCAGTCCAGTGCTTACCCTGCAGTGCCAAACCAGGACAAATACTCAGAGTGAAAACAAATAGGAAAATTCATAGCAATGCACCTTTGTCAACACCACACCCAAATTCCACTAAGTGGAGACTTTAGATAATAGGTTATCTTGTAAATCAAGTTTCTCAAGTGGAGAAATTTAAACCCGACCCCCTCAAAATGGGTTAATAAGATAAACAATGGCAAATAATTAACTACCAAATAACCATCTATTTTAGCAAAACTCATGGTTGAATTCTTGGTGCTGCTGATTGTGTGCTATGGAATCAGTTCTGACTCATAATCTTGTATAGGGTTTCCCAGGCTATAAATCTTTACACAGAAAAAAGCCTCATCTTTCTCCCAAGGAGCAGCTGGTAGTTTCAAACTGCTCACCTTGCAGGTTAGCAGCCCAACTGGTAACCCCTACACTACTAAAGTTCCTAGTCAAATATTTAAAGTAGGTAACATTTATGTTAACAATCAGTAATAGACCAAAATGATGGATACTGTCCATTTTTAAATATTTCAAAAGTTATGACTTTAGAGTTACTATAACTTACCCTTTCCTTCTATAAATCTTTTTGATTTGATGTTCTAAACAATACTCACACATGTACAAATGATGAACACCCAAACAAGGGCATGGACAGAGAAGAACATCTCTTTTTGTAGAACGCAATCCATTTGTGACCATGAATATAACAGGTCAGTATATTCCTTGAATTCCTTCTCTGTAGTTTAATGCACTGTGGGTTAATGCCCTGGACTGCAAGGTTAGTTTGATTCACAAGGTCAGTAGTTACAGCTCACCAGTGGCTCCTATATAGGGTCGCTATGAATGGGAGCCCATTCCACAACACTTAACAACAACAACCCCCTAGTCAGAGTCCTGGTGTGATACTATAGAATACACACTGGACAGCTAACTGCAAAGTCAGGAGCTCAAACCCACCAGCCATTCCTTGGAAACCCTATAAAAGCTCACTATGGGTCAGAATGAACTTGAAGGTACTCACTATAGGTCGGAATGCACAACAACCCCCAGGTAAATAATTTAGGCAAAAAGGAAGACATTCAATTATATACTCTTTAGAAAAGCAAATAAACTTAGTATTGTGCCTGCCAAGTATATTCAGTTTGCCAAACTGTTTACTCCTCATTCTTAAATATCCGATGCTAAAATCAAAACCTGATCGTAAGCAGAAAGTTACAATGCTCTGATACAATGACATCATTCTGTCTGGAGCACTTTAATATAACAATTTGTATAAATTGGCAGAAGCTTAAATAGGTCACATTGAAGGCCAAAACTGAGGATATTCATCTGGCTCCACATTTATCACTATAGGCCATCTGTACTTTCTATAGCAATGTTGTTGTTGTTGTTGTTAGGTGCCATCGAGTTGATACCAACCCATAGTGACCTTATGCACAGCAGAACAAAACACTGCCCGATCCTGGGCCAACCTCACTACTGTTGCCACGCTTGAGTCCATCGATGCTGCCACTTGGCCAATCCACCTCATTGGGGGTCTTCCTCTTTTTCTCTGACCCTCCAATATATGAATATAAAGTAAAAGTTGTCACATTCTTGTATTGCTAATCCTATTGACAGTGGCTTTTATATGGCCAATATTTGCACACAGTTGCAAACCAAAGCAAAGTGACCACCACCAGAGGTCTGCATGGAGGGTTTATCACAACTCTACAAATGAATTAGGGGGAAAAATAAACAAACCACTTCTGTAGTTCTAAAGATATGAAAAGTCTCAATTAAATTTGTAATTGTTGTTGTTGTTGTTGTGTGCCATGGAGTCGGTTTCAACTCATAGCGACCCTGTGCAGGGTTTCCCAGGCTGTAAATCTTTACGTAAGCAGAAAGCCTCATCTTTCTCCCGCGGAACAGCTGGTAGTTTCGAACTGCTGACCTTGTGGTTTGCAGTCCGATTCGTAACCACCGCTACCAGAGCTCCTTAATTTGTTATTAGCCCTAAAAATTATGAAGTAGAGCCAAAATGTACTATGAAAAACTTATCAATATGTAAAGGATAATGTTACTGCTTCAAAAGCAAGAGCTAATCATTTGGAAAAGCAGTCAGCCACATTTTAATCATATTTACTGTATAGTGCCAGTTAGTAGAACAGGGCATTGACAGTTACAGTTTTCTGGGTTGATCCCTGTAAGGCATTCAGGTTGCCTTTTGAACTGGAGTTTCCTGAACAATGACATCTAACTTAATTTCTTCTTATGAAATTTAGTTCATGTGAAAGCAACATGCAGAAACCACAGAGTTTTCTGCTACTCTCAGTACCCCCACCCCCAACATAAATTTTCCTTTCACAATAAACAAAGTGCAATCGAAAAGGTTTCCTGTTTCAAAATGGAATAGTAGATGAAAGAAACTGTAACTCTACCATTAAGAACAGCAAAAAAAAAAAAAAGTTTCTTAATGAAGATGAATTCTGAAAGATCAAAATGGAAACTATTTCTCTCAAATAAGGACTGTTTCCTCACTTAAGGGCTAATTTGATTTTCTTCTTTCCCTAGGTAAATATTTTCAGCACCACACAAATAGTTGTCATGAGAGTTTCATCAGAGGCGTTTCTTAAATTATTTGTTTGCACTCTTGATATCTAAGAGCAATACAACTTCACACAAGGCAAAATAAACACATCCAAACTATTCTAAGACTATATACACCAACAAACCAATCAGGCAACAGTAAGAGCTTTGCATATCTGAGTCATATAGAGGAACTTTGAACCATGAAAAGTAGAACAAAAGGTTAAAAAAAAAAAAGTGTTTGCTCTGAATCTAATTTTTCAAAACACATGAATGAATGTAAGGAAAATAGTCACCCAAAGGCAAAGAACTGTTGCAATAGTAATTACTTGAAATTAAGAGTATAAAGAAATGTGGAAAAATCATGCCCAGGATTAAGAACCTGAGACAAAACTCACCACTTTGTCCATGAGTTTCCAAGTTTTCTCCACAGTCCTGCGATCTGCTGCTGCTTGCTTAGGAGGTCCAACTGCATCCTGAATAGCATCAATAATACCCAAAATTCGACCTTTTCGTGGGTTTCCTCCTCGACCACCAGGGTTTCTGCCATTCATAGAATTTGCCATCTGGAATCTTAGTTCTTTGGGAGATGACGCAAAAAAAAAAAAAAAAAAAAAGGAAGAAAATTTAGCTGGTCATGAAAATATTTATCCAAAAAAATACCTAACAGGCTTACTCATACCCATTACATCCTCCATCAAAGAGAACAAAACTCAGGATCCCAGATTCAACTTTTCAATGAAGTATGAATTTACACACAGTAGGTTTAGTGGTGATGACCCTAAATTGCTTTTAGAAAGCTAACAAAGATGTATCTTTCTCACATTTCAAGCAGCAAAGGCTTGATTAATAACCCACTTATAACAAACAAGCAAATGAAATAGATTTCCACCAATTAGATAAGAACAGAATGCTCTCCCT